GGATCTTTGGTGTGAGTGTTGTTTTCTTGAAGTATCGTTGTCTCTGAATGAATTTCAAAACAAGTTCTTCAGCGATCACTGAACAAGTTCAGTGTATGATCGCTGGAACTGAAATTACAGATACAGAAATACATCGAAAGGAAAAAGGAATTATCATCAAATCACTGAGAGAGAGGATCAACATCACCTCATATATGTATTTGTATGTGTTTGAGAAGGGATGATAATCAAATGAGAACCACAAAAGGTTACAAAATTTGTTCTTCATGCACTATGTGAAGTTGCACGCTTAATGCTAAGTGAAGCAAGTTTTTCAATCTACTTCCCGGCTGAAGCTAACAATACTGCTCGCTTTACTCAAAATAGGTTATAATTGTGAAAAGACACAATAAGATTGCTTATCAAGTGTTCCATAGTAGAAAACCAAATATCAGTTTTCTTCATGTGTTCGGAAGTGCATGTTATATTCTCAATGACCGAGATCAGTTAGAAAAGTTTGATCATAAACCTGATGAAGACATCTTTGTTAGATACTAAAGCCTCTCAGGTGTACAATATGCGTCGCCAATGCATAGATGAATCTGTAAATGTCAGATTTGATGAATCTTGATTGGTGCCTACAACATCACCATTTCAAAGTGATGTCTTAACTTAACCAGTGGTTGGAATCTCACTCTTTTGAGAATTCAATCCCAATCGGTGGACCTCCACAATCTAAAGGAGATGATGTTCCACCTATTGGGGAAGATGACAATGGAGATATATCATTCAGTATGAATATACCATCGGTCAGGCCTATACAAGAACCAGCCGATCTGGTACCTCTCTCATGTGTGAAACCCTCAACTGGTGTCGATGCTCCTATTTATTCTACTAGGGACATCGGTGACCCAACCCCAGCAGTGGTCTATTTAATCCTTCGATTAATGCTGAAGGTGCCTCTACCTCTCTTCCTTTTTCTTTTCCTCCTACCACTAAGTGGATTAGAGATCACCGAGTAGAGCAAATTATTGGTGATCAACAAGCAAGTGTCCAAACACGTCATGGTGCTGGTAATATATGTTTATTTGTCAATTTTCTATCTTTCATCAAGCCCAAAAGGATTGAAGAAACACTTGATGATTTTTGGTAGATCAATGTCATGCAAGAAGAACTGTTGCAGTTCGAGCATAACAAAGTTTGGAGACTGGTTTCTCAACCAGCCAACAAAACAATTATTGGTATAAAGTCGGTCTTCATAAGCAAATTGGATGAGAATTGAACAGTGACTCGAAACAAGGCCCGACTCCTTGCCCAAGGATATATATGCAAGAGAAAGGCATTGATTATGATGAGACATTTACTCCGGTAGTAAGGTTGGAAGTTATCCGAATCTTCCTTGCCTATGTTGGATACGAGAACTTCAAAGTTTTCCAAATTGATGTAAAAAGTGCTTTTCTGAATCACAAACTTATTGAAGAAGTCTATGTGAAGAAATCTCCAGGCTTTGAGGATCCTAAACATCCAAGGTATGTCTATAAATTAGACAAGGCCTTGTATTGTCTCAAACAGATCCTCGTACATGGTATGACACTCTCTCAACTTTTTTTTTGGAAAATGGTTTTTCCCGTTGTAAGATTGACAATACTATTTTTCTTAGAAAACATAAAGGTAATGTCATTATTTTCGTACAAATTAATGTGTATGATATCATCTTCGGTGCCACTAAAGAATCTATATGTAGAAAGTTTTCAAAACTCATGCAAAGCAAATATGAAATGAGTATTAAGGTTATATATAAAACAAATACCATATTAAGGTTATATATAAAACGGCCGTTAATTAGTAATATTTCATTTTTGTCGCATCTTGTTGGTGGAACAAGAAAAATATTTTTTGTTTCACACTGTTTTACCTTGTCCCAGTTCGTGTCCCTGTCTCATATCACACCAAACATGAGACAATAAATTCTTGTCATGTCCCATGTTAACCAAATATGAGACAATAAATGTTATCCCGCCAAACACAGGCATAATGATCCAAATCTCAAAAGTTCCTTCCAGGTTCCAATAATGTTATGTATTTTGAAATGATTTTTTATAAGTTTAATGATTTTTTATAAGTTTAATGATTTTACATAAATTATGCTTTTTTAGATAAATGATCGACTTTCTAGACTATAGATGGCCAAAAACCGGTCCCGGACAGGTCCCAATCGGTCCTAACCTTTCTCATAACCGGCCATAACCGGTCCCGGTCGAAAATGATAGGACCGGTCAAGGTACTTCATAACCGGTTATGGGCTGCCGGTCCCGGTCTCAACCAGTCATTGCATTAAAAAATAAGATTTTTTTTATTTTTTTAATGATATATATTTTTAATACATTATAAAATTTATAATTGAGTCACTCAAATACATTTTAAAAATGCGTTTTAATATAATTAAAATTACGTCTTCTTATAAAAATACATTATAAAATTATTTAAAAATACATTTATTTATAAAATTATTTGAATTTTCAGGCCGGTCCATAGTCGGTCCCGGTCCCGGTCCCGGTCGATCCCAGTCCCACGAAACTACCAAAAACCTCAACCGGTCCCGATTTTCGGTCTCATAATCGGTCCTTACCGGTCCCGATCCCAGGTTGGTCTTTTGTCGGTCCCGGTCCTCCGGCGGTCTCGGGACGGGCCGGGCCGGGCCGGGCCGATTTGGCCCTCTCTAAATCTAGACTCATTAACACATAGGCAAGTTATCGAGCTTTACAAAATTGAGTTATCTTAGGCCCATTTTGGTAGGACGGCCCATATCCGATCTAACTAAATCCAGTGTAATGGATTGAATGAATCTGAGTTTATATTTGACTATTTTTTATCCTTATTTGGCATGAAAATATATAAAGAATTAACCACAAGGATGATGTCTGATTGGTTTGAGCTTGATTCCAAAGGTCAAAAGTATCAGGAGGTCTCAGGTTCAAATCCAATGAGTAATAAAAATTCTCTTTTGGCCACGAATATTCTAATGCGGTGACTCCGGGCTATCTGCAAAGCAGGTGGTCGTCCTGTGATTAGTCGTCTCGCATAAC